CCCTTCCGCGGCTGCACCGACATCGATGAGTGCACCGCATTGGAAAAGCCCTGCGGTACTTATGCCATCTGCGAGAATGCCGCACCCGGTTACAACTGCAAGTGTCCGCAAGGCTTCGATGGAAAACCCGATCCGAAAGTCGCTTGTGAGCAAGTCGATGTGAATATCCTCTGTCGCAGCAGTTTTGATTGCACCAACAATGCGGAATGTATCGAAAATCAATGTTTCTGTTTGGATGGCTTCGAACCGATCGGCTCCAGTTGTGTCGACATCGATGAGTGTCGCACGCATGCGGACGCCTGTGGAGCGCATGCGCAATGCATAAATACACCTGGTTCGTTCCGTTGCGATTGTGAAGCTGGCTTTGTGGGCACACCCCCACGCATCGGCTGCAAGGAACCCTGTGAGGATGTACATTGTGGCGAGCATGCTTACTGCAAGCCAGATGGCAATGAAGCTTACTGCATCTGCGAAGATGGTTGGACGTTCAATCCAAGTGACATTTCAGCTGGTTGCATAGACATCGACGAATGTGATACGGTACATGGTCCCTACGGCAGTTGTGGCGTAAATGCAACATGCACGAATACGTTAGGCAGCTTTAGCTGCACGTGCCCATCGGGCTTCTCTGGCGATCCGCACGCCAAATGTGTGGACGTGGATGAATGTCGCGTGGGCAGCAAGTGCGGCGAAGGCGCGGAATGTGTTAATATGAATGGCGGTTATACCTGTCGCTGTCCAGCGGATTCAATCGCTGATCCAGATCCCACGGTACGTTGCGTGCCGATTGTTACATGCGCCGTAGACAAAGATTGTCCAGGCAATGCAATATGTGATGCGGAAAAACGTTGCCTCTGCCCACAGCCAAATATCGGCAATGATTGTCGTCATCCCTGCGAAGCGGTTAATTGTGGCTCGCATGCGCAATGCATGTTGGCTAACGGACAAGCGCAGTGCTTGTGTGTCGAGGGTTACACGGGTAGCCCGAACACGCCTGGCGGCTGTAATGATATCGACGAATGCAAGGCGAACCCATGTCAGGCGAATGCCATCTGTACGAATACACCCGGCGGCTATCTGTGTCAGTGCCCGAGCGGCACAAGCGGCGATCCCTATCGAGAAGGTTGCACCGCTGGCAAAGTCGCTTTCACTTGCTCCGACTCAAATCCCTGCTCACCAGGTGAAACTTGCGTCACAGATTCATACACTGGCAATGGTGTTTGCATTTGTCGACAAGGTTACGAACGCAATGCGGAGACGGGACAGTGTCAAGATGTGGATGAGTGCTCACCGAGTCGGCAGAAAGCAGCTTGCGGTCTCAACGCGCTTTGCAAGAACTTACCGGGCAGTTACGAATGTAAGTGCCCACAAGGCTTTAGCGGCAACCCGTTCGTCATGTGCGAGCAATGCAAATCACCGGAATGTCAATGCCAACCACCTTACAAATTGGTGGGCAACAGCTGCATACTCGCCGATTGCTCGACAGATAAGAAATGTCCAGGTGGTGCGGAGTGTATTTCCATTGCTGGCGGCGTCAGCTACTGCGCTTGCCCGAAAGGCTACAAAACAGGCCCGGATGGCTCTTGCATCGACGTGGATGAGTGCGTTGAACGCGACGCGCAAGTATGCGCTTTTGGGGCTGAGTGTATCAACATCCCTGGTGGCTTTACCTGCGCCTGCCCGGATGGGTACAACGGCGATCCATATCACGGACTGTGTGCGCCAGCGCAACGTAAGTGTGCCGCCGATAAGGAATGTGGCACGAACGAGAAATGTGTGCAACCTGGCGAATGTGTTTGCCCACCACCTTTCTTCCTGGATCCCTACGATAATAACAAATGCAAAAGTCCTTGTGAACGATTTCCTTGTGGCATTAACGCGAAGTGTACACCAACAGACCCACCACAGTGTATGTGCGAACCTGGTTTCAAAGGAGATCCGCTTATGGGCTGTACGGACGAGGATGAGTGTGCTCATTTGCCTTGCGCTTATGGCGCTTATTGTGTTAATAAGAAGGGTGGCTATCAATGTGTCTGCCCGAAAGGTTTCACTGGCGATCCATACAAAAGCGGTTGTATACTGGAGACCGGCGTGCCCAAGAGCACCTGCACAAGCAACGAAGATTGCGCTAGCAATCTGGCCTGCGTGGAGGGCACTTGCGTGTCGCCGTGCTCCAGTCTACTGTGCGGCCCCAACGCATTCTGCGAGACAGAAAACCATGCAGGCTGGTGTCGTTGCCGCGTTGGTTATAGCAAAGATCCGAACGGCGACTGTGTCTCTCAATGTAAGGATATCATTTGCGGCGGAGGCGCGCTCTGCATACCAACTTCGGACGGTCCTACTTGCAAGTGTCCACAAGGTTACTTCGGTAATCCATTCCCTGGCGGTTCCTGTACAACGGATCAATGTAGCGCATCACGACCTTGCGCTGGACGACAAGTTTGTATCAATGGCCGCTGTAAAGAGCGTTGCGACGGCGTGGTATGTGGCACTGGCGCCACCTGCGACAAGAGTAGTGGAAAATGTGTTTGCGAACCCAACTTCATTGGCAATCCAGATCTCGTGTGTGTGCCGCCTGTTAAAAATGCCGAATGTGAGCCAAAGTGTGGCGAGAATGCGCATTGTGAATATGGTTTCGGCAACAGCGTATGCGCTTGCAATCCTGGCACAACTGGCAATCCATATGAAGGTTGCGGACCACAAAGCAAAAATATCTGCGCACCCAATAGCTGTGGACCGAATGCTGAGTGCCGCTCTGATGGCCAACAAATTAGTTGCATCTGCCCGCAAGGCTTCACCGGTAATGCATACGTGGGTTGCCAAGATGTGGATGAGTGCGTGAACAAACCATGTGGCCTAAATGCTGCTTGCCTCAACTCAAACGGAGGTTTTGAATGTCTCTGCTTATCTGGCTTCGCCGGTGATCCGTTCAGCAGCTGTCAGCCAGTAGATAGTGTTTTCTGCAGCGATGCTGAGCGGTGTGAGTGCAGCGCGCGTGTGGAATGCCCCGACGGCTTTACTTGCGAGAGTGGAAGGTGTAAAAATCTGTGCTCCAAAACTGCCTGCGGTCCCAGGGCCGTCTGCGATGGCGGTAAGTGTATCTGTCCACTCGGGTACATCGGCGACCCGCATGACACCAACACTGGTTGCACCATTCGTGGTCAATGCAACAACGACGGGGACTGTAAGCACTCCGAAATTTGTTTCCAACTGGGCAAAGGTTTGCGTAAGTGCGTCGATGCTTGCTCAAAGATACAGTGTGGCCCCAATGCGCTTTGTGTATCAAACGATCATCGATCTTCTTGCATATGCACTGATGGCTACTTCGGCAACCCCAGCAACTTGCAAGTCGGTTGTCAACCAGAACGAAAGGTGCCGGATATTGAAGATAAATGCAAAACAGATAATGACTGTGAGGCTGGATTTTCATGCGCACCCGATATGCAGGGTACAAGAGAATGCATCAATCGATGCACGAAAGTTGTTTGTGGCACGAATGAGGTATGCAACATCGATGCGAATGGACATGCGCTATGCAATTGCGCAGACAGTTTTGTTTGGAATCCGGTTACTTCATCGTGCGAGAAGCCCACACTGCCAGACTGCACCAGCGATAAGGACTGTCCAACGGCTGCCGCCTGTCGACCAGATGTGGTAGGTGTACTTAAATGTGTTTCTCTCTGCGACGAGTTCACCTGCCCGGCAAATTCCGTCTGTGTGGCGCGCAATCATCAAGGACGCTGTGACTGTCTTTCCGGCTTTGTCGGTAATCCGAATGATCGCAATGGCTGTCAGCCGGTGGTCAAAAATCAATGTCGCACCAATGCTGAGTGTGCTGAATCGGAAGCTTGTATTAAATATGGACCTAGCGAAAGTCTCACTTGCCGTCCGGCTTGTGAAAGCGTCAAGTGCGGACCACGTGCGGTTTGTATCACCAACAATCACCTCGCTCAATGTCAGTGTCCACCTGGCCCATATGCAGGCGATCCAAATGACCCCTTCAATGGGTGTCAGAGTGTGCCTTGTGTCTACAATCACGACTGTCCGCCAACGAAAATGTGCAACCGCATGACACACACTTGCTACGATGTTTGTGACGAGGAGTCCTGTGGCGAGAATGCTATTTGCATTGCTGAAGATCATCGCGCTGTGTGCCAATGCCCACCAGGCTTCAAAGGAAATCCCATGCCAGAGGTGGAGTGCACCAAAATAAGTGGCTGTCTTGCGGGTACTTGCCATCATTCCGCCATTTGCGAGGTAACACCGTCTGGCCCAATATGTCGCTGCCCCGAAAACTTTATTGGCGATCCGGAAACCACAGGCTGCCGTCCCGATAGTCAATGTCCCAATGGCGATGCCGATTGTCCAGTGAATACCATATGCGCTGGTGGCCGCTGCATTGATCCTTGCGATAACGCCTGCGGTCAAAACGCCGAATGTAAGGTTGTTAACCGTAAGCCTGTTTGTAGCTGTCCACTGAAATTCCAACAGAGCGGCGAGTCGCCTAAAGAGGGATGCGTGCGCTCAGTTTCAAGATGTCGGTCTGACATCGACTGCGGCGGTGAAATCTGTTACAACGGTCAATGCCGCGTGGCATGTCGCAATGCGGACGACTGCTCGACAGGAGAAAAATGCTTAAACAATATTTGTGTAATTCCTTGCTTGGACCACAGCCAATGCACATCGGGTTTGGCTTGTTTGGAAGGCCTGTGCGTTATTGGCTGCCGTAGTAATAAAGACTGCTCCGCCGATCAATCCTGTATCAACAACAAATGCGACGACCCTTGCAAGACGGGCGGCATCTGCGGTCCAAATGCGCTATGCAGCATCGACAAACATCTCAGTCAGTGCACGTGCCCAGAAGGCTTCGAAGGCAACCCAACAGCCGATCAAGGTTGCGTTCGCGTACCAGCACCTTGCTTAGCCACCAATCAGTGTCCCAACGGTCATATGTGCATTGGAAATCAGTGCAACCTGCCGTGTCAGAAGAACTCAGTTTGTGCTATTGGCGAACGCTGTTACCAGAATGTCTGCCGCAAGGTTTGTTACACCAGCAACAACTGCCTGCCAGGCGAAATTTGCAACAATGACGGCACCTGCCAGCCGGGCTGCGACTCCGATGCCGATTGTCCGCCGACTGAGCTTTGCCTGAGCGGCAAGTGTAAGTGCGCGTCCGGTTTCATTGGCACGCCTTTTGGCTGCTCTGACATTGACGAATGCACAGAGGAACCTTGCCATCTGACAGCGCGCTGCGAGAACATACCCGGCTCTTACCGTTGCATATGCCCCGATGGTACCGTAGGCGATGGGCTCTCTCAACAAGGCTGCATCGCTCCCAAAGAATGCTACAGGGATCAGGATTGCGCAAACAATCTATCCTGCGTTAACGACAAATGTACGGAACCCTGCACGAATACCACCTGCGGACCGCATGCGCTGTGTATTGCTGAAAATCATCAGGCTGCTTGTGACTGCCCACCCGGTCATTTGGGCGACCCCAGCGAACATACGGTCGGCTGCTTCAAAGTCGAATGCATCGTCAACGAAGACTGCGCTAGTGACAAGGCATGCGATAGTGAAACCAATCGTTGCATCAAACCCTGCGATCTAATATCTTGCGGTAAAGGCACCTGTAATGTTGCCAATCACGAAGCGCTTTGTTCCTGCTATGAGGGCTATCAGCTCGTCAACGGTGAATGCGAGGATATTGACGAATGTCTGTCAAAACCTTGCCACAGCACCGCCATGTGCCAAAATCATCCCGGCAGCTACCAGTGTCTATGTCGCGAAGGACTCATAGGCGATCCAATCAATGTGGGTTGCCGTGACCCCAACGAATGTCTCACCGACTCGGACTGTCCTTCCAGCGCAAGCTGTCAAAATTCGCGCTGTCGCAGTCCTTGTGAGCGCGAGAATGCCTGCGGTCGTAATGCTACCTGCTCGGCGCAATCACACAATGCCATCTGCACTTGCCCATCTAATGCGCGCGGTGATCCATCCATCGAATGTGTCTATATCGAGTGCTCCGACAATGAGGACTGCGCCAATGAGAAGGCTTGCTTGGAATCGAAATGTGTGGACCCATGTACGCTACCGAATGTTTGTGGTGCAAATGCACGTTGTACCGCACAGAATCACATAGGCGTGTGTACTTGCGAAACTGGCACAACCGGTGATGCACAACTCGGCTGCGTAGCGCTACAATACTGCAACACAGACAGCCAATGCGCCTCGGGTACAATTTGCACCAATGGCATATGCGCTACGCTTTGCTCTTCCGTGCGCGATTGTATCTCCGATCAGCTGTGCATACAAGGCGTGTGTCAACCCACATGCCGCACAAATTCATCCTGCCCCGAATTCCAGTATTGTCTCAACAATATTTGCACCAAAGAGGTGCTCTGCGGCAACGACGATGACTGCGATGTGAACGAAAATTGCATACAGGATAACTATGGTCGCGCTTCGTGCGAGAATGTATGTCTAGGACGCGCCATTTGTGGACGCAACGCCGAGTGTATTGCGCGCAGCCATGCGCCCGATTGTGAATGTAAGGAAGGCTTCTTCGGCGATCCAAAGAGCGGTTGCCGCAAAATTGAATGTAACACAGACGCAGAGTGTTCGCACGACAAGACCTGCGACAATCACATGTGCAAGATAGCTTGTCTCATTGGCGAACCATGTGGCGATAATGCACTCTGCACTACAGAAAATCACAAACAAATATGCCATTGTCAACCGGGCTATACCGGTGATCCGAGTGTGCGTTGTGACGTTATCGACTTTTGTAACGATGCGCCGTGCGGTCCAGGTGCACGTTGCCGCAATTCGCGTGGCTCTTTCAAATGTACCTGTCCTCCCGGTTTGGTTGGTGATCCCTACAATGAAGGTTGTCGCACCGCGGTGGAGTGTGAAACTAGCGATGATTGTCCCCCGCATGCTGAGTGCACGAAAATTAACGGTATAACCAAGTGTCAAGATGTTTGTGCGAATGTTAAGTGTGGCACGAATGCCGAATGCATACCCAAAGGTCATCAAGCTCATTGTGCATGCCGTAATGGCTACGATGATAATCCCGCTGATCGGGTTACCGGTTGTAAGCCACTACCCGTACCATGTCAAATGACCAGCGACTGCTCGACAAATACCTACTGTTCGGATAGTATTTGTAAACGTAAGTACTAACAAAACCAACGATCCAAAGCAAAACACACAAAATTAATAACGAACGCTAATTCCGGAACGGTTTAGAATTTGAAAATATTTAATAAAACCTAAACAAACAAACCCCTTAGTGAGCTAACTTTGTAGTTAAATGCTACACTACATACTACTCTACTTACAAATAAATTCCACGCACTTGGGTACGCGTAATACCTACATATTTTATGTTTAAATATGCAGGGCGTATTTAATATAACCAAATCTAGTATAACTCCCTGTTGGAATATAAATACTTAACGAAGAAACGTAAATATCTAAACGTACGCATTCGGTTAAGCCAAAAAGACTACTCAGGAAATGATTTTGAGACCACAATAAGCTAAGCTATGGCGATTATTAAGTTTTAAGCTGTTTTTCTGCATAAAGAAGCTTAAAATTTCTCGAAAAAGATTGAGTATTGTTAGAGACTTGGAAGGCTAGACGTGTGGGCTTGATTTACCTTAGTAGGGCCCCCAAAGACAAAATGGTGTTTGTGGTACCACGGAAGGTCTATTTTATACAAACGTCCTCATACAAATATTCACTCAAAACATATCGATGCTGCGACTATCTTCCGTTCAAGTTTTCAGAATGCACGAACGAAGTTTCGCAGGCGGCAATGTCGAAACCATGTAACGTTTGGATCAATTCATCCAAAGTCACCTTTACTAACATTCTCCTCTAACCGGACGTTTACAATCACAAATCAAAGGAGACGTGAGGGAACACCACTTTGTGGCGTGACCCTTCTAACCTTACGTTATATTATAAACAGCGCTTCCCCGTTTATCCACGACAGCTCTGCCGCAAAGCGTGCGGTATGTAAGCTTAATGAATGAAAGACGCTATTGAAAGCCTCTCCTTGCAAGCTGTGTAAGCGACTTATGCACTTCTAATAGTTCCTCCATCCTTTAACAAAAAGTACCTTAAACTATGAAATGAATCACTCACAACTTCTAAACCCTTTCGTAGGTAAACAAAAAGTTTTAGCTATATGCACTTCTCAACTGTCTACTCGCTGAACTTACTTAGCTTAGTAATAAGTCACGGACATCTAATAACCTTTGTCAATGAACCCGTCGCACAAAAAGCTCAACACACTTGGAGCATTTTACTGCTTTTGGAGTCTCCTCAGGGCCTTTGAAAAATGAGCTCATTCGAAAAGCTGTGTCTGGTAATTCGCCTGGCTAACAACTTTGCCTTAATGCGCAAATAAATACTTCCTAGGAAATACACAGCTATCAACAGAAACTAGAGTACGGCTCTGCATCTAAAAAGCCTGTTTCGAGATGCTTCTCATCTTTCTCTACAACTTCATCAGCCTGCTCTGAACCTGTCCCCACCAAAAAGTTAACCATCTCAAATCGAACTTAACCACATCACACACACTGCGGTTTGAGGTTTATAAAGCGGTACAAATGTAGAGAACAGTGTTCGGACCACCAAAAATCGATTCAGGACTAAAAATCCGGGCAAAAACAAATTTTCCGTACTAGATTGAATTTTTTTATTTTCGTTTCTGACATTAATTGTTTGATTTAAATATTTTCTATTCATGCAAAAATAAGAACGCGAGGCAATGTAGGGATAATATGTTAAATATTTAGGTAATATTTAGCATTTTCTATAAAGTAGAACAATTCCAACACTTAATTTTTTAAAGAGCAACAGGATCTAAACTTTTTCTACTTTATATAAATTTCATTCTACATATATTTTTTAACAACTTAAGTAAAGTTCTGCATCCGCCAATTTCTACAGCCATACATCAAAAATAACGAAGTTACTTTATTGATGCATTGCTATGAAAGAGTTAAGGCTGATTCACATACAACTTTCCTCGCTTTGCTTGATAGTTCCTTGCTTTGACATATAAGATCGATGTGGGCATATGCATGAGTATGCTCACATAAAAAACGTTTGAAGCAAAGCAAAGCAAAGCGAAGCAAAATCTTGGGCAACTCTCAACTTTTGCCCGCTTTGGCATTGCATCTTTTCTCGTGCGCTTGCATTTGCATTTAATGACAAAAATAGGGTAAAGAGGAAATTTTATTGCTATTATTAGTGCATATTATTATATTGTTATCTATTTTACAGAGAAAATATACGGAGGAAAAGGAGAACGTAAAAGCTGTCAAAGCGTTTATTGTAGCATACCTTTGATACCTTCTGCGTTCCACGCTTTGTTGTCAAAGTTTGAACTGTCAAGCAAAGCGAGGAAAGTTGTATGTGAATGGCGCTTTACTTTTTAACAGTGAGAACTTTCGATTTTTTTACTGAAACCGGTGGTGAACACTCAAAAAACGGCCCAAGAGGGCATAACATGAATGAAAAAAAAAAACGGAATAGATTTGAAGTCAAGCGGAGTAGAGGAGTACATTTCAAATTTTTTCAAAAACCGGAGTAAATCTAATCTGATCTTAGTAAAGTCCAAACACTAGTAAGGAATGTTTTTTTACATTTTAACGCTAATGACCCACAGATGGCGGGAAAACACAGGGTTGTATCAGACTCTCGACGTGGTTTCGAGTTGGTTAGCTTTTAACCATCTCAGTGAAATGGTTAAGTGCTGTCATTTTTATATGGCGAAACTACGCTAAATCAAGTGGGTTATCGGCTTAACCAACTCAATAGCCATAACTACGTGGTTAGCTCCGGTGGGGACATGGTATTAGTGTATTCCTATATACCAGGAGTTAATAGCGTCGATTCGAATAAGAACTTTATAGAACTTTTGCGCTACTATCAATGCCCTGACTTGGTTGTTAGACACTGTCCATTGCTGAAGTATTAATTCGAGGTCTCTGGTTAACATGCACAAAAGATCAGCGGCATTTCTTGGATAGTTCCGTAAATTTTTACTATAGATTCGATAGCCATCTAATATTCAGTTAAGCAAAGGAATTTCCAGAAATCATATCAGGGATAGGCAGGCAAATGCTTTGGCGGTGTAACATTTTGGAATACATGATTTACCAACAAGCTTCGATCCGTTCGAGTTTCGTAGGCAGTTCAACTTGAATATCCTTATAATCGTTGGTCGTTACCTATGTATATCTGAGCATTTGTTTTATCTATGTATCTATGTTTCCAACAGAACTGCAAGAAATAATTATGTAGTCGTTTTAGCTTTAAGGGTCCTTGCCTTAATATTAGCCTTCTACTTTGATTTACTTTGAGACGAAAAGAATCAGTTCAGACTTAATCAAGTGTAAGAACCCCTCTACTGTTGCCCTTGTATCCGAGCATTGGTAAAATAATAATAGGTTTAGTTCGAAGTTCTTCAGAATTTACTAAAAAAGCAGAGATCAAAAAAAATTTAAGTCAGGCACAGGAGTCACATTTGAACAGGTTAGGTTAACAAATCGGACAGCGTAAAAAATACAGATAACCTACACAACATACACAACTGCAGACAACAGCTACAAGACGTTATACTACATGAATCTTAAATGAAAAACCACTAACCTACTCTCTAACTTTTTCCAGCTGCCTGCATACTTGACACCGAATGCGGCTCATCGGAGGTATGTCAAGGTGGCCAATGTATCAATCCCTGCCTGCAGGCACAAGCTTGCGGCATGAATGCCGAATGTCACATACAAACACATTACAAGCAATGCTCTTGCCCAGCCGGTTTCACCGGTAACCCAGATGTCGAATGTGTACGCATACCCGTGGCCTGTGCTAGCGATGCGGAATGCCATGATGGCTACAACTGCCACGACTCAATGTGTCAACCGGCTTGTCAAAACGATCAGGATTGTGCATTGAATGAAAAGTGTCTACGCGGTAGCTGTATGCGTGAGTATTTATTCTTGAAAATCTTTGTTTTCTAATTCAAAAACTTATTTCCCACTACTTTTGTCGTGTTTTAGTGACATGTCGCGTGGACAACGACTGCTTCCTCGGACATGTTTGCTTGCACAACAAGTGCGTATATGGCTGTCGTACCGATGACGATTGTAGCGCTTCTGAATCCTGTCGCCAAGACAAGTGCACCAACCCCTGCCTGGAGAATCCTTGCGGCCCGAATGCCGCTTGCTCGGTGTCTAATCATCGCGCCATTTGCAGCTGCCTTGATGGCATGGTACCGAGTCCTACACCACAGGTCGGTTGCGTGCGCAGTCCGCCTCTGGGCTGTAATGAAAACCGCGATTGTGCAAATGGTTTGGCTTGCTTTGAGTTTGCCTGCCGTCCGTTGTGCGCCGATAATGCTGGTTGTCTTTCGAATGAACGCTGCCAAGGTGGCGTGTGTAAACCACTCTGTCGACGTGATGATGACTGCCGCAACAGCGAAGTTTGCTTGGGACTGACGTGCGTAGCTGGTTGCCGCTCGGATCAGGGCTGTCCGCATGAACTGTCGTGTGTCAATCAACAGTGCGTGAATCCTTGCGCCGAACCAGCAGCCTGCGGCACGAATGCTGAATGTCTAGTGATCGACCATCATAAGCAATGCGAATGCCCGCAGGGTCTTGTCGGCAATGCGGAAGTGTCATGCAAAACGCCACGCATTGCTTGTACGCACAATGAAGACTGCGGTGGCACTCAACTATGCTACGGCGGCAGTTGCCAAGGAAAATGTCGCAACGATCAGAATTGTTTGGCGGATGAGCGCTGCATGCGCGGCACTTGTCGTACAGTTTGCAACACCGACTCTGCCTGCGCGCAAGGACAAATCTGCGAAAATCGTGTCTGCCAAATCGGCTGTCGCAACGATCTTACCTGCCCCAGCGATGAGGCGTGCATCAACAAAAAATGCAAAAATCCCTGTGATGCGCCAGGACAATGTGGACAATGCGCCAATTGCTTGGTGGTCAACCATGGCGTGCAGTGTAGCTGTCCGAATGGATTCCTCGGCGATGGACTTAGCGGTTGTCAACAGCCGCCACAACGCTGCAATCCCAGCTGTCAATGTGATGAAACGAACACCTACTGCGCTGACTCGTGCACACACTCGGACGACTGCGCTTGCGGTCAAGTGTGCGCGCGTGGCAAATGCCGTCAAAAGTGTAGCGCCGGGCGTAACTGCCCACTCGGACAACTCTGTGAACGCGGCACCTGTCTTGCCGGCTGCAAGACAAACTCCGACTGCCCCACTGATCAGAGTTGCCTCAGTGGCAAATGCGCTGATCCTTGTGCAGACAAGTCAGCTTGTGGACGTAATGCCCTCTGCACCGTATCCGATCATCGCATGCTTTGCTACTGCCCCGATGGCTATGAGGGTGAACCGAGCAAGGAGTGCGTACAATTCGAATGCGCGCAAGATGCCGACTGTGAACCGAATAAGCGCTGTGATGCGGGTAAATGTCGCAACCCCTGTTTGGAATATGGCGCGTGCGGTGTCAATGCGCAATGTCGTGTTGTGGATCGCAAACCACAATGCTCATGTCCACCGGACTACTTTGGCAGTCCCGAAACGGAGTGTCGTCCATTGGATGGTGGTTGCGCAAATCATCCCTGCGGCGCTAATTCTAAATGCACGGAAGTACCTGGCGGTTATGAGTGTGCCTGCCTGGACGGTTGTATGGGTGATGCGCACAAGGGATGCGTCTGCGAAGGACATCTGGTGAATGCATGCGCCGAACAACCATGCGGGCAGAATTCGGCTTGCCGCGTGCTCGATCACAACGAAGCGCAATGCTATTGCCCCGAGGAGTCCCCGTACGGCGATGCGTATGTGCAATGTGAGTATGAGGGTGAATAGGGTATTGGAAATTCTCAAGTAGCACATTGGTGTATAACTTGGTGTAAATTTGTGAATTTTGGTACAATTAATCAGATTTATACAAAAATTCGTAAATCTACACCAAGTTATACACCAGTGTGCTGCTTGAGTTCGAGGGCCTAAGCTAATGTGGGGGTAGATTAAAGTTAAGATCAAGATTTTGATTGATATTGAAAGAGTCTGCGATTGTAATTAAGATTAAGATTAAGAATGGCTTTAGGATTGAGATTAAGAATATTATTGAGATGGGATTGTGATTGAAATTAAAATAAAGACTTGGATTAAGATTAAGATAAAGATGCAGGCCAAGATTTAGACTAAAATAAAAAAATATTAGGTCAAGATTAAGATTCAGATTAGATTAAGATTTAGATTTGGATTAAGACTAAGATTGAGTTTGAGATTAAGATTGAGAATGAGATTACGAATAAAATTAAGATTAAGATTAAGATTAAATTTAAGATTAAGATTAAGATTTAGATTGAGATTAAAGTTAAGATTTTGACTGGAATTAGTATTAAGATTAAGGTCAAAATGATAACTTAGGTTAAGAATAAAATTAATATTAAGATTAAGATAAATATTAAAATTAAGATTAATATTATGATTAACATTAATATAAGAATTAATAATAAGATTAAGATCGAGATATAGATTCAGATTAAGATTGAAATTGAGATTAATATTAAGAAATATGTATTTATATTATTTTTATGATTTTTTATAAATATTTAATTCTCCCGCTTCTCATTAATCAATTGATTTTTAACATCCACCCACTACTAGGTTACTTAACGCCACCACAAGAAGACTGCCGCACTCAGGGTTGCATTACAGGCGAATGCATACGCAAAGGCGTCGACTATGTCTGTCGGCACGGTAAGTACCAAAATTTTACGCTTATTTTATGTACCCCTTAGGTGGTCTAAACAATGAATTACTCTATAACCAAAAATTTTTAGCATACTTAGTGAGTTTAGTAGATTTTTTTTTTACTTGCAGAATTGTTAGTTTAGCCTCTCTTAGTTCGTTTTTTTTTTTTCTTGGTTTTGTTTTGGTGCTAAATGAGCATTTGCTAAGACCACGTCTAGTCTAATACCACCATAATAGCCTATACAATTAAATCTTAAATATTATTAATCTTGTGAGTAACAATTGTTTGACTTGAGATATATGTTTTTATGCAATTTAAAAAAACCAAAAAATAAATAAATTTTAAATTTAAAAAATTAATTGCAAGAAATTAACCCCAAATTTGAAATGTTTTTTTACTAGTTTAACAAATTTCGTTAAAATTAAATAATACAATTAATCAATTAAAATGCAACAATTTTAATTAAAAATCTAATTTATTTATCGAAATTTAATAAGATGTTACCAATTTAACCTTTGACACAGCAAAAGTAATCACATATTTGCGGTTAACAGTTGTTTTTAAGCAAATATTTCTCACAGTGTAGTGTGTGTAAATACAAAATATAATAAAAACCAAAATTATTTTGATTTTAATACAAATTTAGTTACTGGGTTTTTTTAGACATTTTTAACGTTTCACACACACACACACACACACACAAATACATACAAGCATATACAAAACAATATTTACACGCATTGTGTTTAGTGTCCCAAAGTAAAGAAGGAAATAAAGAAAAAATAATCTTCAATAAGAGAGCAAATCGCAGGAAAGTAAAAGAAGTATTACAAAGTAAGACTGGAAAAAAAGACTGGCGCGAAAAAATATTTTCGCAAGAAAACCTAAGTATTTTTAAGCACATTTATAATATTTTAATTTTTATTTGCTCAGTTTAGGACCATTTATTATTTAATTTAATTTTAATTTATTTTTCATTTAACTTTTGTTTTGTATTTTATTGAACTTTTTATTTTTGAATTATTTTTATCAGCCTTTTTTTCGTAGCAAATCCCCTTAAAGAAAGCATTTAAACTATTCGTACAAAGAAATATATTCGCATAGCTTATATTTCAAGTGTGATATTACATACATATATAAATATTCAATACGAAATGCTTGAAAAATAAAATTTCGAAAACCATAATTAGAAAGATACGCATATGGAAATTCGTGGAATGTCGCTGTCGCTATCGCGGTCTCCCAATCTGTGCCTACAGACATGTAACACATTAATTAAATTTATTAATTACATTCTACTTACAAACCTACATACATAAATATGTATATCTACCATTCACCTATTCGTACCAAACTACATATATTTAACAACGCCAACCAGAAACAAAATTTTTTCAAGTTTTTTTACATCTGCTTTCATTGTTGTTTTAAGAAAATAAATATAGGCATCTAAGTAGTAGAACAATGGCTACATCCGTATACAAATATCTTCTTTTAACGTTACGCAATAAAAGTCAGTAACTCACCAAAAACATATAAACACATATCCTGCTACATTTCCATACACACACATATGAATACATCCCTTATTATTTATCCTAAAACCATCATCCTTATCCAAAACAAGTCATGATGCAGTACACCGTATTCTAGGTTAAATGCCTCGATACTTATTCATCTCGTAGGAAAAAAGAACTTTGTTACACTGAGAAAATCGTTTGGTTACGTTAACTGAACTGACATTTTTTCTCATTCCACGCTACCAAAATGCCGCAAGTGTAAACATTAAAGCTTTAATGGTTAGAAGGCTACAAACATATATCCTCTATTGATCCCTATTGTAAAAGGCAAAGCGACTAATAGGTAACTGTCCTTTCAAGTGAGCTTTTTTGCAAAGAAATTTTATAAAAACTTTTGAGTCGCACTAAAGCTACTTATTTTCAAACCTCAAAACTGATTTGAGCTTTTCTACAAAAAAGTGTCTACCAAGAGCTTTTTAATAATTTTCCGCAAATTTTTAATTTTTCTAAGTTGACTACTTAAATCTAAAAAAAAAACTAATTTGAGCTTAATTAGTGGCAGAAAAACAATTTTTTTTATATTATCTTACTAAAGGTTGCCAAAATAAAGTTTATGCAACATTTTAACTTTTTAGCTTAGCCATTACAACCCCACAGATTGTACTAAACTTTTTTGGAAAAAAAGTTTTTATAAAAAGCTTTTCTTCTTCTTCTTTTTTGGCGCTAACCATGAAAAGCTTTTAGGGGCAGAAAATCAGTTTGAAGCTTGCTGCGACCTCCCGATATCATTTTTTGAAAAGCTTTTTCTTACTTAATAGTTAATACAGACTCACAAGATCATTTCCTGCAAAAAAATTATTATTTACTTACGAAAAGTTTTTTTTTTTTTTGTGGCAGAAATGCGCGATTATGTTTGCTTTGAAATGCTAAATGTGATTTTCAACAATGTTTTACCGCTATTGCGTGTGTTAGGATTGATAAGTTAATTTCACAATATCGACTTGTTTGAGCTTCTTTTGTGAACAAAAATGTTTCAAGGGCTTTTTAGTACCGCCCGAAAATCCCATTTAAAACATTTATGCATACGAGAACACTTTTCCCTTTACTAACTATTTTGAAAGCGTTTTTTTTCAAATATGTAGCCTTTTTTTTAAGCTTAAACTTAACAAGCGTCTAAAGCTTTCAAAGCTCTAGCCTAAATTAGACTTGTTCTCGCATTTTACAGCTATGTTTCTGCCTGCTTTTTGAGCTTTCTTGAATTTCCTTTCTATTTTGTTTAGACATGCACAGCATAACAGCTCTATATGTTCATTACTGATGTAGACCCGCAATTGAGAGCTTTTACTCTGAACGCGTCTACACAAAGCTCTGCACGCTGGCCATACTACTAAGTGGCGCCGAATGAGCTATATGGTTTGGATTCTTTATAACAGTTTTTTTTTTTTACTCTATGCCAACGGGATCCACGCCGGGAAATGACCTGCCAGCAGCGTTGCCGAATGCTTTTGGTGAAAAATCGTCATTTTACCTTGAAAAAGTCGTAATTTCGGCCAAAAAAACCGCAAATTTTTTGATATAATACTGGGTGGCGCCGAATGAGCTACATGGTTTGAATTCTTTTTAACAGTTTTCTTTGGGGATATTTGAAAGAAAGAGTGTACGTTAACAAACCAAGAACCATTCTCCAACTCCAAACCAACATTCGAAATGAAATCATGGGCATTACACCCGAAATTCTGCGAAAAGTTATGGAAAATATGCTAAAAAGAGCACGTATGTGCGAAGCAGAAAATGGACATCACTTACAGGATATCATTTTTCAAAGCTAATTGCAAAAAATTCCCAATAATATACTGTATTTAAAAAAAAAAAAGTTATAATAATCGCATAAATAAAAAAGTGATAAACCATTTAAACCATATAGCTCATTCGGCGTCACCCTGTATTTCCATTGTCGATGTAGACATTCTGAGAAAAAGCTTTTACTGGCAATCCAATCCATTTCTTTCATGAGCTGATGGACCAATTTAAAAGCTGCAGAACTCACATAGGCATTAACACATTCCACAATTCCTAATTTTTTAATATTTAAAACAAAAGAGCTTACTTGCAGAGCTTTTTTGCACTGACAGTTAATTCTAAAAGCTTTCGAATGCACAAATCCAAATTTTTAATATGTTCTAAATAGAAAATCTCTGAGCTTTTCATCTATCCAATCTCAGCTAACACACAGTTACGTAACGAGCTTTTATTTTACGGTAATTTTTGTAATTTAGTTTAATACTTAGTTTAATCTTACGCTCTAAATTTTATTTTTTTTTAACCTAATGATTTGAAATTTTCATAAATAAAAAAGTTATCGGTGTAACGCCTCGAATGCCTAACATTTCCTTACCCTATACAACTTTAACATCATCCACTCCTAATACCTCCCAATTAACTATACACTCAACTGTGTGTAACAAAGCAAAGCAAAGTTTTTAGTTTTATACCAATGCATACATACATATAGTATCTGTTTCTAATACAACAAATAACCAAGTATCAAAATTTAGTACAAAATTGTTTGCTAAACAAAACAACAGCAGCAGCAACTACAACAATATTTTGAGCTAATTTACTAAAAGTTAATACTAAACAGAAATTACAACATCGAATAAAACGCCGCGATAGCGATAAGTAATATAAACAACAACAAATTAAAAAAAAAATGCTACAAAAATATATAACGATTGGCGAAGGAATGGATAACAGATATAAACATGTGAACAATGTAAAGCACGAAGAAACAGCGTATTGAAAAATTTAGACAAATAAGAAAACCTGACAACGACCTCCACACGTACACGCACACCACCCACACACGTAAACACACAAACACACACAGTTCCAATAACTGACTGCCGCTGTGTTTTCACCCACAATAAGCCCCTTTCGCAACGTGCTCTCTCCACCACCAACATCCATGTGCTCCTCCATCCGCCTGTTGTTTGACCCCCCTGATACACAAAAAAAAATTAAATTAATTTTGATAAATATGTTTTTTTTCTTCCAAAACAAGTGCGAAAATGAAAATTGAAAATTTTTAGGTATTAAAAATTTCAAAAAATAAAAAGTGTTATGTAGTTAGTGTTAAGAAAGAGTGCTAAATCAAAAGCTTAATACTATTTGAGTGAGTAAATAAATATGTATTATTCATATTTGAGTATATCTGAGTATATTTTTTTACAAATCTGAAATAACTATATGCAGTTTAGTCTCAGATTGGGAACTGTGGACGGGACAATTCTCACTTGGTTCACATATGCCAGCAAAAAAATAATAATATTTAATTTTTTTTTATTTTTATATTCATAACTTTAAAAAAAATTTAATTTTTATTAAACAAATATATATAAAATCATAAAAGTAATTTTTTAACCAAATGTCACGAAAACCTCAAATGAATTCTCTCATAAATTTTTTTTCGACATCATCGCGCCTTGGCGCCTAAAAGTCGACCCTTACAGAAGCGAACAAAAAGCAAACACTCACTCACTAATCCTATCTCACTCTCTCTCTCTCTCTCACACATATTCTGCTCGTACCTCTCTCTAAACCTGTTACAAATTACTTAGCTTATTAATTGGCATTTTAGTTTGTATATAAGCAGACATAATTTGAAAAAATAAAAATAATCAAATATAAATTGTATAAAATTATGCAGCATAGAAAATATTACAAAAAAAAAACACCAATCGTATTAATAGTAAGCATAGGCTCCGGAGACGCCAGCCAGCTAGCTAGCTGTAACTAAATTCACTAACCCCAACTATATATTTGGTAATTTGCATTAGTCAGTAAGCTGTAAATATATTTATCTAAAACAAAAACAAAACTGTATTTCTTTGGCAGTGCGCTATATACTAACACTTGTACATAAATATTTATACCAGAATCTGTGTTGTACAAATACAGACACTCAATTGTAAAAAGAATGTATAAATTATTTGTAAAAAAAAAAATTATAATTTGAAAAATTGGAAAAAGTGCTTTTCAAATTTGTATAAATTAGTTTTGGTATGATTAGTTCAGTTTTTTTTTTCAAATTGTAAATTGAAATTTTGTAAAAATTTGTATAAACGAAATTTTCCTTTCATAATTTTCCTGTTTGACATACATACATATTGTTTTTTTAGTTTAAAATTTTTTTAACTTAAAATGCATTTTGCTTTTGAAAACCTTACATACATGCACGTATAAACATTTCATAAAAGTACCCAAAAACAAGGTACGCTTTAGGGCAGAGCGCATGTGTTGGATGTCGTACGAATTTTTGTCAAAATATCCAAATAAATTAAAATATTTTAATATTAATTTCAATGACGAAAAGCTTAACAGCTACTCAGAGGGCAAACAATCTGTTTTTTTTAAGTGAACAAAAGAAATAATTTATTTTTTGCGAAAAAAAATGGCGTATATTCCAACGAAAAGGCGATGCAGTATCAGTTTAGACAGTTTCAATTGATAAAGTGTCAGTTCCCGAAGGCTCTTTGACAGTCCATAGTCAGTTTTGAAGAGCTTTGACAGTTTATTTTCATTCAAAAGTCAATTTTAACAGTATAAAATGTGCCAATTTTGGAGAGTTTTTGACAGCTCGTTATCAAAAAAATTTAGAAATCACGCTCTCCAGATATTATATTTCACTTAACTGCATTTTCTAACGCACCACAAGATCAAAGCATGCCACATTGTATGTTTTAGCTTGAACTCGCATATTCGCACAAACTTAAAGAGTAATTTTTGAACAATTTACCCTTAGAGATGTCAAAAAATGGCAGTTAATTTTTCAGAGCTATACTCCATTTTACTTCAGCTCGTAAATATACAACTAATTTTTTTCACACATGGCAACCCTTCTTTCATTGGAAATTAATTTATGCTCGGGCTGCTTTTTAAAACTTAAAAAAACTGCAAAAAAAGCGTAACTTTCGAAAAAGTTTTATCGAAGGGCAGATTTTATGGCTTCAATTCTGTGAGTTTTTCGAAAAATATTCAACATTAAAAAAAACCTCTCAAAACCGTTCCAAATCAGTCTATAGCTTTTCAAATTGAAAGAAAAACAAATTGTTTTTCCTTTCCTTTCATTGAAAATTACCTTTCGGCTCAAACTGACTTTTAATGCCTTAAAAAGTTCTAAAAAGCAAGACGCTCGATACATGTTATCAAAAATGCCATTTTTATTTTCAACTTGCTGATGTTTTCAAAAGAAAAAAATATCCAAATAAACAAAAATTTATATTACAAAAGACAAATGGCGTCCAAAGTAGACGATGCTCCCAATAAGGTAAAAAATTGCGTGCCAACTGCCTAAAATCGTAAATATTCGCACTTAAAAGAGTTTTGAAAGTTTGCTAAATACTTTTTAGAACTTTTTGAAAAATTTTTCAAATATTTTTTTTTACATTTTCAAAACTTCAACCAACAATATGTCACTAGAAACGAGAGCTCATCCTCATTTGGCTCCCCTTTCTACTTGATACTGTCATTTGTAAAAAATATGCGCCATTTTTTTATACTTAAAAAAAAATTTCAATTTCATTCACCACGCGCATTGGGCAAAATAAAAATAAAAAACATATATTATCTATTGTAAAAAATGCACGCATCATTCACTCAAAACAAATGTATGAACATAAATAACTCGCTTGAAAATCCAATAGCTAACTAAATAAACAAAACACAACAACAACAACAAAAGTCACATACTGACTACTACTACGACTAAAACAACGCTTTTGCTGAGTTTTTGAAAATGTGAGATGATTCCCCTTCACAGTTCTCCACTCATTTGACTGTATTTTCAAACACAACACTGATTTTTTTCAAAACAAAAATCAAAAAAAATCAAAAATTTATTACTTAGCACTTTTCCTAAATTTACACCCACAAAATTTGTGCTACAACAGCAATAAAAAATATATTATAAAATTATAACTCTCTCCCCCTACCGTAAATAACAGTACTTTTCCAATAATTTTTCAACCTATACAAAAGTTTAGTGTTTAAAAAAATTTAATTTTAATTATATGAATATAGTTTTTATTTTTGAATTTTAATTAATCGTTAAACGCTATTTTTATTTCGTTTCGATTTCTAACACTTTTCGTTAACTTTTTTAAATAAAGTAAATACACAGCCTTATTTGATTTTCTTGTTAGTGGAACCTCTCTCCCTTCTCCGCAAGTAAATCCACTACCACACACCATCCACCATCCACCAATCACAATCAATCCGCACAAGTGCCCCCTCCCACACAGTACCAACAAAAGCGACACCACACCCACAAAACCCACTCACTGACAAATTTGAAATTTTTAGTGTCACTAAAAAACTCATAGAACTACAAACAAATACTCAGTCAAATAAGAGTCAAATACTTTACGCGACACTACCCACCCCAAACACTCTTCTGAATCCCTTTTTAAAATCTTAGCTTAGGGCTAATTTAAGTTTATACATTAAGTTCCTTTATTTTTATGCACAAAAAATATTCCTTCTACCCTTAAGCGATGTTTCCACTTCGTTTTTTTTTTCTTCTATTGCGCTCTCGAAATCTTTACGTTTACTTCGAGTGAGCATTGAACTCAAAGCTGTTCACTCATTCACTCAACCACTCACTGACTCTTTTCTTTTCTGCTCGATTTGGCTCTTGACTGTACGTGCTGTAAAAGCAACAAAAGCAAGTGAAAACACTCTTCCTCTGTCACCCTCTAAATGTGCATGTACTATATGTTTCACTTACAACAATACACTAGTTGTGTCTCACTGAAATTTCGCTCTTTTTTTCTATGCACATGCACTCTTATGTCTAAGTACCACCGAAATTATATCAATGTTTCTCCATGTGCTTAGACAGGTGTGCTCTTACAAGTCACGCATACGTTTCTTCGTCTGTCTCCTCTTTTTTGCTCTCTATATCTCACTCACTATTATTGTGCATTATATGTATGTATGACGTGTCAAATATCTATTAGTACAATCCTCAATTATATCGAACCGTGCAAGCGATTAAATATTTATTTAAAACCAACGCACCAACCGACTACCAACAAAAACGCGTCGTCTCGCTATATCACTCTCTCACTCTCACTCACTCAATCACTCTCTCTCTCTCTTCTTCGGCCAATTCAAATTCCATTTTAGACACCGAACAATGCACATCAGACGTCGAATGTCCCAGTGAGAAATCATGCCTGCAAGGACACTGTGTTGATCCTTGTTCGGTGCGTGGCGTTTGTGGCGCTAACGCGCTTTGCAAAAGCGTACTACATCGACCGCGTTGTTCCTGCCCCAGTTGCTATATTGGACGTCCCGAAGTGGAATGTAAGCCTGATCCCAAGTGCACAGATGTCACGGCGCTGCAACCACGTGATCCACAGCAGCAAATACCCTGCACGCAGGATAGCGATTGTCCCGACACGCTACAATGTAGTCACTATGGCCAATGCGCCGATCCTTGCCAGAATCCGCTCTTTATTTGTGGCGGCAGCAAGAAATGTGAAACGAGACGCCATCAACCGGTATGCGTCTGCAAGTCTGGCTTTATTGTTAACGAATATGGTGAACTGACATGTGCGCCTGAGAAGCGTGAATGCTATCGCGATGATGATTGTGCCTCGAATATGGCTTGTAGTGAGGGTAAATGTCGTAGTCCGTGCGTAGTGCCGGTAGGTAGACAGCCTATTTGCGCTGAAAATAAATCATGTGAAGTGCAAGATCACAAGCCGGTGTGTATATGTATGAAGGATTGCCAGCCGTCAATATCGATTTGTCTGCGTGACGCGGGCTGTCCGTCGGGACTGGCATGCCGCTCATATCAGTGCGTAAATCCGTGCGATTTTGCAACGTGTGCGCCCAATTCGCCATGCATCGTCGAGGATCATAAGCCGATTTGTAAATTCTGCCCGCCTGGATTTATAGCCGATGCCAAGAATGGATGTCAAAAAGGTAAAGCATACGTCTAGAGTTGTATAAGTGTGAAAAATGTAAACTACTACCAAAGCAAAAAAAAAGCAACAAAAAAACGCAAAACCTCTATCTGTCTCTGTCTGTCACACGCTCTATCCAACTCTCCTCCAATTTTTTTTCACGCTCGCTAATATTGCCACACATGACGCGCGCACTAACACGCTCGCACGCTCAATTTGTGCTACTCGTAAGCGCACAGCGCTCTGGGGGGCGAGTGTTGTGCGAGGGCGCGCGCCAACTAAAATCTCTTCGCTTCAGGCAGCTAAACTAATTGCGCAATGGTATTCATGTGTGGCTCAGGGATTATGTAACAATAAAGAGAAGAGCCGAGCGCGAGCTCCTCGATTTCATTTTATATAAGAAATGTATAATTTTTAACCAAAAACAACAACGCCTCAAATATTAATAAGGCCCACCGCAGTTTCGGTTTAACGAGAAACCTAAATCCATTGCTTTTTCAGCACCATTTTTTAATAAAATCGATTTCAAGTTTATTGTTTTGAAGACTTGATTTTGTTAAACTTTTCGAAATTCCAAGCTAACAAACAATAAAATCCTCTACACATTCACACACGCTCATGCCACAAGTTAATCAATCAAAAGAGAATTAATTAATCAATGTAATCAACAGCAAATTAATCAAAAGTTAATCTACAGTTTAATCAAGCGATAAAATAAATATTTATCCTAAAATGTCTGGTATTATAACATACTAAAGTCGAAAGTATTACTAACGGATAACCAGTGTAGCTAACTAATTTGTAATAAATAAATAAAAGTAAAAAGTAACT